ACGCCGAGGTCGTGAAGAACACCGCCACTAAAAGGACATTTCTTGGAGGCGTGGCTCCCACGACGGTAGCCTTCACCAAAAGCAGGCCTTGCCAGCGCACCACGGATGCGCGTCACGTTGGCAGTGCTACGTCTCGTTCCTCTGATGGGCGCAGTCTCCCTCTACAGCACGCATATTTTCCCTGAGCCTCCCCTTATCAACATCAAATTCATCTTACCACATGGCACTTCAGGTTATCATAGTTACTTTACATAAGTGATTTGAATACTTTTCTCTGCTCACCTCTCGATCCATAACAACCGCGTTCTTATCGTGGCCATTTTCCAATGCACTTAGCTTCCTCTTCAAATTATCCACGTTACACCTTCAACAATTTAAAACAGCTACTTAAAATCGGATAAACAAAAACTGATAGGACAATAAGCTCTTGTGAATAGACCTCCAACGCAAGAAATGACAAAACAAACAAATGCCAGAGCTTCTTTTCGAATTTGCACATGATCAGCAGCACATCTCATCGGCGTTATTGGGCCAAATTGCTGCAGTCTATCAAATGAAAGCGAAAAGAGATAGAGTAGTAATAATTTCTATTTAAAGTGACCGAGATGCGTTCAAAATCGGTGTGGAACTTACACTTGGTCACACTTTTGACCAACATGAGCATTTACATGAGCAGCTAATGTCTCTAGTTCAGTAATTTTTTGACACTCCAGACGAGTCCAGTGCAAGTCAATTCACCAGAAAAAAAAACGGAAAATTTGTGCAGCTTTGAAATTTCAAAAGAAAAATAGCACTCACTGAAGTTGTCTATTCCTCTCTTCGAGATAATTATTCTGATCCAGCAGCATTTTCTTCTCTTTATTGTGATTAGCAGTTCCATTTGCAGAAGCCATATTTTCACCTTCGGTAGGGATAGTAGGTATACGGATGTACAGAGATAAATCGACGCTAAGCGGCTGCTCCTGTAAAATAGACATGGAGAATACGACATGTCTATTTTATAGAGACAGAGAGACATGTTGAAATGTACTTGTGTTTCTCGCATGACATGTCAAATGAACTGAAAAATGGTGAATTATCTTGCAATTTCCTTGTTAGAGGATAATTTATCGGAGAATGATGCGAGAGTTTTGCTGAGCGCCATTTTCGATTTTAATGTTAGGTTATTGCTTATTGAAAATGAAGATCTCTGAGTAAGTAGTTAGGTCTCTGTCAGTGGTTTCAGCATGCAAAACCTAAAACCTAAAACCACATTGCTCACATACTGAGTGGGCGGATTTCACGCTCCTTAACGAGGAAAACCTTATTGGGTATCATCTATTCACTCCATTTCCCCGATATTTACCGTAACAATGGAGCGACCCACCAACGAGACTTCTGTTGGAACATGGGCGATCAGCGATCCGCCACAACGAACTTCCCTGGCAACTTCAAAGTTTTGATTGCACTTTTCAATTTACCTCCAGAGTATTTGTACAATTGACTGAGGACGGGTGACCTCGCCATCACTTTCAGAGGATTAACGGAATAGAATGCGCGGGTTCAACGATTTTCTGGGGTCAGTTAAACATTGCGGACCGCTATACGAGATCTCCATACTTTTTATGTTTTGAAAAATGATCATCATTAGTCTGTCAAAAATCTTATCAGTGATGATACTTATGCTTTCCTGGTTTCCGAAAATGAGTGCAAGCACTTAAGGAGCATTGAAAAATGCCAAATAAATCAGGTAAAACTATGACTTTCCGCTCCAAATCGTGCGCCACATGGTGGCGCACGTGGTACGCAATGTGTTAACAAGATTATGAGCTGCGGGAACAGATGTGTAGGAGTACACTGTGTTTTGCGTAATGAAGAATTATTGCTTGAAGATTTGAACAAAGCGATGGGCGAAAGAAATTAGATTGGACGATCCTAGTGGACTATATATGGGATCTGAATGTGATCATGTGCAGAACAGATTTGCGTACACCATGACAACCAAGCAGAGCCCCGGTAGTTGCACGATTTCTGGGCTGTGTCGTAACAGGCCAGTTATAAAGTTCTTCAACACAATTAATAAAGCGGAGTACTCGAAAATATGATTCGATTGGAATGAGTTCTTTGTAAGGGGAGAGTTAGATATGATGTAGGGTAAGAGATCGCAGCTTTTCTGCATATGCAGTCGGAGAAATGCGCGGGATATTGGGGTTCTAAATTGTTGGTAAGTTTTACAGTGAAGGATTGCTCAAAAAATCAAAACTTCTCAGGTATGCAATCGCCACATAAAGGTGGCATGTGCATCTTTTAGGTTGTATGCAGCAACAGGTCGCATTGTTTTGCATGTGACTTCAACAGAATCTCTTCAGCAACTCAAATATGATAATGTCTCTGACTTAAGAATTGACAGTGAAGAAAAGCTCCTCTCCCCGGTACAGTTTCGTCCTGGTTATGCTCTAAAGGATCACCCATAAATGCAAATGACACTGAGTTTTTGAACGATAAAGGAATGACTTTTGCTTGCTTTTTCACACTCACCTACCAGAAAGAGTGCCTAGGAAGGAAGCTATCATGCACACAACTTTAGCGCAGCTCCTGTAAGGAATCCTTTTCAGAGACAAGGAAAAGGAAGCTTTTCCAAGGAAAACTATTCTTCTTTTAGGACAACATGCAAGAAATAAAGATGGCTCCTTTCAGGTTGCCGCAGAAACATCGAAAGAAAATGCTAGACAACAGCTTGGACACGAATGTGAAAGAGTCCCAATCTTTCCATGATTTCGCGCACAATTATAGGAATAGTTGCTCAAGGAGAGAGAAAAAACAAAGAACAGCTAAAAAAGAAAAGGAGCAAATAGAAAAAAGTTGTAGAAAAGGGTGGCCTGAGCGAAAAAAAATGTGTTGCAGGAGAAAACAAGGCGCACGGAACTGTTCCATTCAAGTAGCTCACTTATTCTATTTGCGTAGAATAACTTCAACTTGTAAATGAGAACTCACAGCAACGATTCGATTTGATCGACACAAGTTGCAGTTTCTAGCATAGCCGCATCCGTCCTCGCTATTTTTACAATGGTAGCCCACATTTCAGCATCGGGGCTTTTCATAACAATCAACGATTTTTGTCCTGAACAACTTTCTGTATCACCTAGATGCTTGAGAGGATCCACACTTTACTGATCTTCCAAATACGTACCTGGCGCCTTGAATCCATGCCATAGTACTTTTTCGAGCATCATG